TACAAGTGATTTTATTAGTAGTATATGTAAACAATATTACTTTGTCTCTTTAATAAATAACACTCTCACAGCATTTACTTTTCCTATTATTGAGATACTAACCCAAAATCAATCCCGAATACTTCAGGAACAATGAGTCCCAAAAATTTTGAACTATTTACATCTCTGTCCCCCTCTCTTATTAATCATTGATTATTCAGAGGCATATTCCATTTCAATATCTTTCAAAATACCTTATATAATTAACTATCAAGATATTAATGAAAGCATCAAAAGATGAAAGCAATAGAGACGATCTTCATACATTACTTCTAATTTTCTCTCAAGAGAACAAGCTGGCGACTGCAAATATCTGAGCTAAGGAGCTGTTAGAGGAAATTGACATATATTCTCTTTTTCTGACAATTGTTTTGACTGCTTTATCGCATAATCCAATACAGCCTATCTTATATATATATATATACATTGATATAGAGCTAATATAGAAATATTACTAAAAAGAATATTTTGAGAAAAACATTACCCATTGTTGTTTTTTACTTGTATTCTTAATCAAATATGCTCCTTTTTTAAAATCATTAAACAAACATATAAAAAATATCCTAAATATTCAGATTATGTGAAAGACAATATTAGTGATCCGAATGAATTTGCCATTTCTATGTTAAAGGCTACATGCAAGTATAATCTCTGATACACAACAGTAATAGCAATTATTGAAAGAGTGAATAGAACGTGGACTACTCTTAACAAAAAAATCAAAAGACCTGCTCAATTGAATGATCATGACTTGAGATCTTTGAGAAACATTGTGCACAATGATCGACTCGCAACATTATATGTTTTTATAGCTGTAATCAATAAATCTTCATATGGATCAATCAGGAGGGAAACTGTTTGCAATTATTTTTTTTTAAAAAAAAATGGTATATGATCTTGTGTTGCCGCAAAGAAGTCTGTTGCGTAAAAAAGCATGTATATTGTAAACAGGTTAACACTTGAAAGACTTGCCTGTTATTACAATCAGCTTTGAAATTGGGTAATCTGAATCGATGGGCCCAGATTCATAAACTATTCTAAAGCAATGTATGAGTGTATATGGTGCATTTTAAAACATATATTCAGGATAATGTACTTGTTCCCAGGAATATGAGTTAAGCGGAAGTTAAATGCTGATCTGGTTGTAAGTCCAGGCTAAATTTGTGAAAAAGCTTGGAGCTGATAATTGTACATCGAATCGGCAAAAGTACATAATACTCTTTTAATGTAACCTCACGTTCTTACTCTTGAAGTATTAGGCAAAGTGAAAATGTCAAGTTTGTTTTCTAAGAGAATAAATTACTCTGTTATCAAGATGTGTTGATAAAATAATATAAAAATAATGTAAACGTTTCTTTTTAAGAAATAGCCTATAGACAGCCCTGATCTGAGTCTAATAGAGAATATTTTGGCATACGTGGAACATGATATGAGGGCTAGAAGGTTAAAGCCAATGTATATACAATTTTTGGTTTGTGCTCTTCAAGAAATTATTATATATGCAATATATTAGTTTCCGACGTAATAAGATAACTTGGAAAAATAACAGATTTTATACTCAATATTAAACTTTCAAATGAAATACACCATATATTGATATAATATTTACATATCTCTTGGGATTGCTTTAGAGCTCTAAATATATATTTAGCTGGTTAAAAGGCATATAGAAGCGGTATATCTTTATCTAAAGCAAATTGAATTTTCTTTTAATAAAACACATGTACTAGCTCTAAGCTAGTATATATATATTATACGAGATGATACGAGACTTTATTAAGAGAGGTCTGCGATTCATTACTTATGCTTTCAGAAGCTTTTCTAGTAGCCTTGAAATTATTGAGAAACCACTGTAAATATTTCGATTAATACTCCTTAGTTGAGAAAAAGAAAGCTATTTTCACCCAATGAGAGCATAAATGTCTTATATATGTGTTTAAGACATTATATAAATGCTGGTTATAAGTAAAGATTCAAGAAATTAATTAAAATATAGCAGAGAAGTGTTTAATAAATACAGAATACAAAATAGATTCTTATTCTTATACAGCCAATATAAAGCAGGTTTTGATTGACGTTAACTATGTTGTTTACATTAATAGTACAATATTCTAGCTAGACTATCAAAGAACTTGATGATTTATTCACAGAAATACAAATAATAATCTGAAAATTTGATCTACTCTAAAATATAAATATATAATCTGGGATGGTCCAAATCCCAGTATATGCTGTCGCAGGTCAGCATCATATTTTACTAGCTAGTATATTTCTTCTTCGTGCCTTGTCCAGATCCAGAGGGGGGAAGTCCAATGCCAGTCCATTCCATTGATTACTTTTTAGTTTTTTTTTTGCTTTTTTACTTTTTTTTTATAATTTGTTTTTTCTTGCTTTGATTTGATTTAACTTGATATAATATTCTATTCTAGAGTATAATTTTTCTTATTTTTTTTATATGATATGATATGATATGATATGATGTGTATTGATATTTTTTGGCTTGATTTGGATTGTTATGATGTGTCTTGAATTGGATTGATTTGAATTGATGTGATGTGATTTGATATGATTTGTATAATATTTATGACCATAGATACTGAGAATGACTTTGTCAAAGAGCGTTTTTAGATCTGAGTTGATAAAAACTTTGGAAAAAGAAACCTTCGGATTTTGGTGAAGAGAGACTTTATAAAATATCACCAAATTTGACTGAATAGATATTTGGTAAAAGAACACCTTTCGATTTGAGTTGAGAGAATTGATAAAAGCATCATCAGATTTGAGCCAAGAGAGACTTTGCTAAAGAACACCTTTAGATTTGAGTTGAGAGAGACTTTGGAAAGGAACGCCTTTAGATTGGAGGCAAGAGAGATTTTGTGAAAGAACATCTTTTCATTTGAATGGACAGATACTTGGTAAAAGGCCACCTTCCAATTTGAGCCAAAATAAACTTTGGAAAGAATGCCTTCAAATATGAGTGGATATATGCTTTGAAAAAGACATCTTTGGATATGAGTAGAGAGAGACTTTGTAAAAGAACACCTTTAGATTTGACTGGATAGATATTTGGTAGAAAGCACCTTCTGATTTGAGTTGAGAGAATTAATAAAGATATTATCAGGTTTAAGCCAAGAGAGACTTTGTTAAAATATGCCCTTGGATTTGAGTTGAGAGAGACTTCGTAAAAAGGCACCTTCAGTTTTGAGCCAAGAGATAGTTTGTAAAAAGACATATTGTGACTTGAGTCGACACAGATTTTGGAAAAGAATACCCCCATGTTCGATTGGATATAAAGGCTTCGTTAGAGAACAAATTGTTTTTGTTTTTGACATTGACATTGCTTTTGGTTTTGTTTCTGTTTCTGCTTTTGATATTTTTTTTTCTTTTTTTTTTCTACTGGAAATTGGACTGGAAACTTGACCCCCCTTCTTGGACTTGGACAAAGCACAGGACCCTATACTATACAACTGTGAAATTCATATTATTAATTCTAAGATATTTGGTACTATAGTTAACAGTGTAATATTTTTTTTTGGAATTCCCGACTGGAATAGACCCAGCCCTGTTTTGTATTGTCTTTCAGAGTAAGCGCTGAGACCACGATCCCTTTGAATAGCTGTATTGCTGACATTGTATCCCAATTGTTCTTTCATGGTGATTTTCTTGCTTGCTAATGGAGGCTTTTAATTGATCTACTGGTGCCACATGACTTTCTGTAAAATTCATTCGAGGATTGCCAAAACCTTTTTTGATATTTAAGACTACGGCCTTCGACCAAGGTATGGAATTCATAATTGATGCAACTGATGACCTAGTCAATGTTCTTGGGATTCTTTTTACCAGCCCAAAAAGATGGTAAGATTTTGAGCTGTGTAATTTGATGGTTTGACACAATTGACTTGATTATTTGAATACTTGATGACTGGATATATTGCTGTAACTGCTTTCTTGTGGTGAGAGTTTACTTCTGGACTGAGTTTCCATAGATTTTTGTAGATACGGCCTAATGCAATTTTTTAAATTTGAGTCAGAGACAGCGGCCACAAGGTAACTTGAACAGCATGTAATTTGCTTGATTTTCTTGGTGACTTGTATTGGGGAGTATCAGTAAACTTTGCGTCTTTGTGTTGCTGTCATCCCATTCCAACTTTGATAATTTCTCTGTTATTTTGTTCTTTTTTTTTGTTCTTTTTTGTTTTCTTTTCTGTTTTCTTTTTTTTTTTACATATATATGTATATAAATTCACTTTTGTTTTTTGCTTTTTAGAACCAGTCTAATAATGGCTCCTTGCTTGACTGGTTCTACCCTCTTTAAGCTTTGTCTTGGTAGCTTGTTTGTATTGGTCTTTTAATATGACCCTTCAATTGAAACTTGCTTCTCATTGTCAACCATTGGTGCACGTATTAAGGTCCTGGACGTGGATCGTTTGTCCTTGTGCGCCCATTGTTGCTATTGTTTGCTTTAACCTACTCTCCTTGACAGCTCCGAGTATGACCCAGCTGGCCCAATTAATCAAAGCGTAATTTAACATATCAGTTCAGCTTGCGGACACCCCAAAAAAGACCGGCATGTATTCAAACTACGGTTGTTGAGAACTACTCGTAGTTATCGAGGAAACCCTTGATATCCTATCCACTTGGGAGGACATATCTTACTTGCATAGCACCTCCTATATATTGTAACTTCAATAATAATTAAAGAAAGCCAAGCTTGTGTTGCCTGAAGCACGCCCTAAGCAGTTAACATCTCAAGTAAATGTGATTTTTTAGGCTTGCAATTGGCATGCGCTGTAAATTTGGGATATTCTTTAGCATCACACGCTTGACTGATTGGCCGTATTGCTTGTTGGAAATTGGCTCGGAATTTCCATGCCAGATATCATAAACCCGCCAACTGAATATCTTGAGGAACTACATATTGGTGGCTGTAGAATGCATTCGGGAACCAAAAAAAAAAATCTCTAGACTTTGAGAAATCTGTCTATCGACTCTGCCTGATCAACTGGATAGAAACCAAAAGCAGACCAAGAAATTGAATAATATTTCTCCAAGAAGTCTAGTTTCACCAATTTTGAACAAGTAGGATGGATGACTACCAGAAAACTTAACCGCCCAGCTCCATAGCTTAAGATTCTGGCATGTGTTAACAAGGTCAAAACCCAGACCCAGGGTAAAGCTGACGAATTAGACGATGCGATTAATAAAAATGAGAATCCCAAATAGAGAAATCCAGAGACCCGATAGTCAGTCGCCTAATATCAGCAGCAGCTAGAAACAAACATAGGCAAACCCCAGATATATGCGGTAGTCATATTTTTGAGAACAACAACTAGAACAACAACTAGAACAGCAACCGGAACAACAGATAGAGCAACAGACAGAACAGCAGACAGATGAAGTCCAGATATATTATAGTCAAGCGCCTGGTAACAACAGCCAGAAATCCAGGCAGACAAAGTTTGGATACACAGCAGCCAAATGCTTGCAAACAACAGCCAAAAACACAGACATACAAAGTCTGGATACACAGCTGCCAAATTACTGCAAACAGTAGCCAGAAACACAGGCAAGCAAATTTCAAATACACGACAGTCAAATGCTTGCAAGAAACAATCAGCAACACTGACAAACAAAGTCCAGATACATGGATTTCGAATGTCTGAAAACAGCATCCAGAAACACCGACAGCCAAAATCTAGGCAACGGAACAAAAGGGACCAAGAACGTCCAAAAAAAAAAGCCCAAGAACTCGATCATAGTCTTGGGGGTGGAACACAAAAACGTTTCTACCAACCAGAAACTATTTTTAAAAAAATTAGAGTCAATAAGTTTTCAATGTATATAAATAATAAACATAATAGTAAAAGTATAAACCAAAATGTTACCTTTTTGAGAACCAGAGGGTCGCTACCACCACTTTCGAATATATGCAGACGGTGATTAACAGCAAGTGCAAGGACCCACAACTCAGCCAACACCTGCTCTGCATACATCGGTGTAGACAACTCCACGTCTACCTTCCCTCTACTATCCAAAGACTTTGGACTCGGAACCAAACAAGCAAGCGGACCATGGCGTCAAACTTGGAAAAGAATGATTAACCAGACCTTTGAATATGCGAGCAATTGGAACCGAACGTAAAGGGGGACCTGACTACCGCCTGCTGACCCCGGCATCTCATGCTTCATCGTCAAAGTCACTCTCTTCTAACTCAGCAAGGAGATCTGCCAACGCCGAGTCTTGCAGGGTGACGCCCTCGTCGTCATCTTCATATCCCTCATCCGAGTCCTCTTCGTCATCATCGTCATCATCTTCTTCACCTTCTTCTTCTAGGACTTCTACTGGACTCTTGGGAGCGGTAGTCAGCCACACCACAACACCAGGAATTGTGGTAGGCTCTGGTGCCTCAACCTCTGGCAAGGACATGCCAGATTGACCAGGAAGGTCAGCACCAGAATCAGATCCGGGGAGAAGAGGGGAAGATGGTACTCTTGGTTCCTCCTCTGGGCTCCACACGAGATCTTCTGCAATTTGCTGTGGGACACAAGTCGCGCCTTTGTTGGTCATGTTTGCCTGATTTAGTGGGAAAGAGCCAGCCACACCAGAATCAGGAAACATGGTAGCCATCATGATGGGAGAGCCTTTTGGGACTAGGCTTTCATCCCAGTACATGAGGCAATCGTCTCGGTAGTGATCAAGGTTGCCCTCGATCCCTGGAACTACCTCAACGGCGAGGTCCATCGGACTGTCGCCACACAAGTCCTCTGGAACCATCGCAAGTTCACCATGAATGTTGTACCAGCAGGCTGTGGAGACGCCCGCAACAACGACACCGTCATACTCGACGTCAGGCATTTCAGAAGACTCTGACTCAGAGATGGTACTCATGGAGCAGTCGAGATCTTCTTCATCTGCATCAGTCATCATCTGCTCCAAATGAGCATCAGAAATGGACACTAAGTCCATGGGTTCTTCTTGTACGAAGGCAAAGAAACCCCCGACCAATGCAGGGCACTGAGGAATCTCCTCAAACCAGGCAGTATCTTCGCTGTGCCAGCAGTACTCCATGGCCGAAGCCATCTCTGCTCCAACAGCACCCACTTGTTGGGCAGCGCTCGCAAATTGATTCTGACTGGCCGATAGGTCTTCACTGTCATCCTTGATTGACATGAATTCAAACAAGGATGCCAGATCAGAAATCTCCGAAAGGATCATATCCTGGCCAGAGGAAGGAAGTTCGTCAGTCAGTGGGTGACTTGGTCTGTGTCTATTGAATGTCCCTTGCTCAAAGGGACAGGGTAGAACAAGGGAACACTCAGTTGCAGGAGCACCGACACAGACTTCGTCATAGCCACTGATATGGGATTCGCCCTGGGTATCGCCTTTCGATGGCTCTGGAGCTAACCCAATGGGCTCAAGAGGGTTCGCCTTCGAGACTGGCACCTCAAACATCTGCTCCTCCAGAGCCTCCCCATAATAAGGGAGTCTCGTTCGGACCAAGCGTTTGGATCCCTGGTTCTCATGACGTACTGGAATGTACGCCACTCGATCCATATGGGAACGCTTGTCATCTTCATGAACTGTTGAGTTCATCCAATGGCAGACGCTGTTCTGTTGATTTATGGAAGTAGAACGAGAAAGACCTTCGACATCACCGGCACCTTTTATCTCTGAAGAAATAGCAGGACAAGACATAGGACCTAGAGTCTCTCCATGAGAACCACTACGTAAAGGACCAGAAGAGAATACTTCCGACGAAGTACAGAAAGACTGCAAGCAACCTTCACCGTCTGAAATATGGTCAATGTTAGTATTTATGTTTATGCTGTTGTGATCAACGGCTGGCTTACCTTTGTGGATTATTCTCATTTGGTATGAAGATGTGCCCATGCTTAACACAGAGGGGACTGGAAGAGAGGATATAGCTGCAAAGAGCAGTGCGCAAAGAAAGGCTGAGGCAAGACACAAGGTCTGCAAGGCAAGTTGGATGGGATAGGAAAGCATATGAGAGATTGCGGGAAGAGGGGTATAAGGGAAAAAATGAAAAAATTGAAAGGTTGATGCTTCTTTTATAGACAATTTGTCTCCATAATTCCTTGTTGTTGCTACTGTTGTTTTTTTGTGACAGCTACTACATTATTCATTCAACTATGTAACAAGACATTGTGGCTAGGAGGATTTCTTTACATTTCTTTTGATCTTCACTTCTTTCCGTGATGATCTGTATATAGTAAAGAGTAGTGATTTAATTCTAGCAGCTAAGATTAATTTAAGACAAAAAAATTAAATTAAATATCGCCTAAAAATGTGCCAAAGTATTAAAGCAATGAATTTTTCCTTTTAAAAATGACTAGATAATGAGAGAGAATGTTGAAGCAAATAAGTAAAGAATTATAAAAAGCTGAGATATCTTTTAAAGAAAATGGTTGAGATTATTTGTAGCTAAATGTTATTATCAAAGTCTAGAAACGTGGGTTTTTGTTTCCTCTTATTACTCAAAGCTGACCTGTGCTCTGATTATATAATGTGATTAGGTATATGGACTCGAGGAAAACAAGTAAGTAACTAGTGACTTTGATAGACAGGCAATTTTCAGAATGTTAGAGTGAAAGAAAATTATTTTGTGTCTATCACTTGAGGCCAGTGCTGGTATGATTAAATCTACCGACTCTTTGAGAGTATCTCCTTCATTTTTGAAGAGACCACGTATTTCCTAGTAATAAATGTCACAAAAATATATTATCAGGGATGTTCAAACTAAAGAGAAGAAAAATGATCTACATAATTTGTGTAAATATTAGTATGAAAATTTTGAGGCTATTGGAAGATCTTGAAGATGGAATGATATACGTCTGTATCAACTGTTGTGTACTTTGATCAGCCTGAAAGACCATAAATATAAGCTGAACTGTATTATCAAAGATATATATATTGGTTGAATACTGACATGCTATCTGTAATAAATAAAGAAGAAAAACATTTGATTCCACTAATATTATTCTTGGGTTTTTGTTTTCAACTCTACACAAACAGTCTTATTGCTATTTTCTTACTGTCTTTTACATAATATCAGCTCAACCTTACAATATAAAATTTTCCTTTAGTTTTTTTAATACAAAATTAAAAATTACATTGTTTAATTACTGTACAGTTACTTGGCTATTTTGAATGTCTGGAAATGCATTAAGTGTCTTATTTAATGCCTATGCTGAATACTGTTATATTCCTTGAATCAATGTATTATCTTAGAAGTGAAACTTTAGACCATGCTGATATACAAATACAAATACAAATCAAAGTCTGTGTTGTAACATTTTCTATCTAAATCTAAATAATGCAATATATATATATAAAGTAAAAAAGAAATCCTAGCCGCTTGAGACAACCTAGTACTGATCAATAGTAGAAATGTGGTGCTGAGCTTTGAGAACGTGTACTGAAACATGGACAGCCCAGATTTCATATGTATATATCAAATATTTATAATTGATAATGTTTATGTACTTTTTGCATATTAGAGCATACATATAAATACTTTTTCTCAGGTTAACTATGGCCAAGTGTTTAAATCTTCTTTAGTTAAAGCTTTATATATATATAGTCAAAGCTCAATATGATAATAATAGTGGAATATTCAAAATCATATCTTTGTTTATTTATTTTTGTAATCATTTTTATAGAAAAGTCTAGGTGAAGATATCTTGTTTAACAATAGTATCCAGAAGTACGTCGTAGAAAAATAGATATAATACACCAACTTTTACAGGTTTTAGCTTATAAGCTCGTATATTTCGATTTATAAAGTCATTAAGCTACAGAAAATAAGTAAAGATAATGACAAGAGCAGAATAATCTAATTAAACAGCAAACAGAAAATGTGGTTTCTTTCTGCTATGTAATTAATGAATTGTACAATATATACTTGTGTGGATATATAAGTATTTTACATACAAAAATAAGGCTTTTGCTTTGTTGTTGTTTCTTTGGGATGAAAGCTAGACAGGTGATTTGTGAACTGATTCTTTACAATATAGCAATGTGGC